CCCCAAAACGGGGCCCAAAATATCAACAGTCTACAGTCTACAGAGTTTCACAAGCAAAACAAAAAGGAAATGACAATACAAAGTCTGTTTTCGGGCTAACAGGTGCCCGAAAATGAAAGTCTAATCTAATGAAAGCAATAAACCTAATCTACTGAAAGCGGAACGATGGATATCCAAGCTGATCCATCCATACAAGCGTGCAGAGGCGGAGTGGAGCAGTGTCAATCTGAAACGTATGTGGGTCTGATATGGTGGCGCCAAGGCTGGCAAGGTAGTTAGCAGGTCTGTTCCCTTCATGGAAAATGTGCGTGATCCTGTGATAGACAGACCGAAGTAGAGCTCTAATGCGCGTAAGCGGGTGCTGAATCTACCACGAGCACTGGTGGTCCGAAGTCAGGAGGATGGCGACAGCCGCAGCGTCCAGCTCGATCCAAATATGACTGGAAAGGTGGACAACAATCTGAAGGTCAATCTGTAATGTTTGAATCTCAGCGTCATAGCTCGAGGAGGCCTGAAGGGGAGCGTGGAAGGCGGTGATGAGGGCGCCGCTGTGGTCCCGAATCAAGCCTCCTCCGCCGGCAGCTCCGGTATGGCAATCAAAAGAGCCATCAGTGTTCAGCTTGACCCAAGGGGAGTCGGGTCGGAGCCAAACAACAACTCTGGGCCGAGGGGGTCGAACAGGCGGTGGGGAAGCCACCATGTAGCGGTGTGGTGGCGTGCAGCCTGTCCAGTCTCGGGCCGTGAGCATGCCCAATGCTATGAGGAGCGAAAGATGTCTCTCTACCTGCAAAACAATGTGAGAAAACAAAAAAGTAATATCCATATGCTTCGCACTATTCCTCTCCGTCGAGGTGAACCAAAGGATCAGACAAAGAATGAGGAAGCCCAAGTGTCTAAGGTGTGTGCTCTGTGAGAAAAAGCTCAGTTTAGTAGTAGCTAGGTTAGTTCTCTTTAGTTACTAGGTTAGTTGTTTGTAGTTGTTAAGAGTTGTCCGCATTTTAAAAGCTGGGCGCATTTGATCCGCCCCCTATATATAATTACTAGTTGATGCATTTAATAAAATATTTAATAAACCTGTTTTCATTTTTCTTCAAAATGAGTTACATTCTTTTTAATTAATTAGTGTGTACCCCGTGCGATGCACGGGAACAATATTAAATTAACAATATTATAAATAGGCCTCCAGTTTGAGTCACTCAACGGCGGAAGTGAAAACTACTATTGATCCTATTTAAAAAGAGATAGAAAAAAAAAATTACAAATTAAAGATACTTAATAATTATAAATTAAAGATTTTGGGTCAAACAATGTAAAATTATTTTGTATTAGAGAATATAAAAAAATTTTATTACACACCATTTCAAAATTATTATTATACTTTTTTGTATGGCTAGCTTATAATATTTGTAAAAATATTAGTAATTAGACCGATGAAAATTAGCTTCTTAAAGTAGATAATGGTTTTCTAGTAGTAATTATGATTTGGTTTCTATTTCATTTTACTTTTTCTTTTTAAAGATAATGGATTTCTAGTAATAATTATGATTTGGTTTCTATTTTATTTTATTTTTTCAAATCTGTATAGATAAGGGATGAGATTTTTTAAACACGTGAGACGTATGCTAAAAATATTTATAACGGAAGAGATAAGCTCGTGTAGATTTATACTAAAAATAGGAAAAAGAAAAACAAATATTTATTGTCAAACAACGGTTTTGATAAATTAAAAAACAGGAAAAAGAGAAATAAATCTTTACACAATTAATGAGCCTATTTTTTGCCTATTCAGATTTGTCCAACAATTGGTATATGTAGGATATATTTAATAATTTTGGGGGGAAAAGGTTTCTAAATTTGTAAAAAGATTATTCTTTTTTATATAATGATAGTTTACTCACTAATCTGCTAAAACCGTTACACCTTAATATAAATATTTGTATTATTTATTTTTTGGATCAATTACTAAATTAATTCTATATTTGGTATCAAAATATTCAAATGTGTAATGGCTAATGTGGGAACTTAAAGTTGATTGACACATTCAGAGCTGTAACAACTATATTTGGTTGGCACATATTTTTTTTTTTCTAAAAATCAGAAACACCAAAAAAAATTTTATTTATGTTAATTTTTTTAATATATGCCACAAATATATAAATTATTTTTTTTATGTTACTAATGTAAATGTTGCATGGTTAAAATAAAATTTAAATCTCAATTTAATTCTGAATGATAAAAATAATTTAAGAAAAAATAATAATTTTTATATGATAGAAATACATGTCTAATTAATAAACACAAACAAAATCGTGTTTTATATATGTGCAAATGCACAAGATCAAATACTAGTTAAAAGCAACATCAAAATATTTTTATCATGTCAATTACTTTGATGGTATATTTTGGGATATTTTATTATAATGTCAATTTTGTTTTTGTTTTTTTATTGAATTATATTAATACAATACCTGAATTTTATTTTTCTCAAGGTTTTAATCTTAAGTTAATCTTCATTTAAGGCTTATTTTTTTGTTTTACTTCTAAAGGTAAGACCCCAATACACTTTTTTTTTTTACATAAATAAGTGACAATAATTTTATATATTACAATATGTATTTCAAATACTTAGAAAAAAATATTAACTATATTTTGCAATTATTTTAAATGAGGGAATTAATTCACATGTTTATGAAAAATTTAATAAAAACTATTTTCAAAAAAATATTGGGTGAAATTAAAAAATATAAAATTTAAATATTATTTTAATTAATAATTTAAAAATGTAATTAAAATAAAAATTAAATTTAAAATTTAATAAAAATAGAAAAGTAGAAAGTGAAGGATTAGATGAAAAGGAAATTTAAAAGTGAAGTATTAGAAAAAGAAGCTGAAACATGAAGTATTAAAAAATGGTTAATAATATATTTGTTTAAAAATATATCCCGCTAATTTACCATGCCATCCCACAGTAATCAAAATGCATAGAACAAACCCAGCTAAAATATATACATTTTTTTGTTGTCCCAATTTAACTAATGTGACCAAATTACTGGAAAACTTAATAAATAAAGAATAGATAAAAAGTAATAACTATTTAAAATAACATACGTTTTTTACCCTCAAATGTTCAAATATAATAATCATATCAATTTCATATATAAAATTATATATGTCTAACACAAATATTATTTATTAATTCGTTAATTTGATTTTGAATTTTTTAAATTCTCTGCCAACATAGTTACAGTACAATTGTCGTCGACTTTATTTTAGTTAGTTCTCATCTATTATTTTTTCAAGTATTATATATACATGTATATTTAAATAAGTTAAGATACTAAAATTACCACTTTCAATTGTAATGTTCGTTTACGCTAATATAATATAATTTCAAATAAGTTTAAAATTTGAATAAACTAATAAAAAATTAAAGGAATAATCGTAACCACTTTTCATTTCATAAGTCTTAATGTTGAATAGTATATCAATTTTAGTACATTAATTTATGCTATATTTATCCAAATATTTTAACTTTATTTTATAAGATAATACATTGTTCTATTTATATTTTTGGATATGGTTTTTAAAAATAGAGGAAATTAATTTTAAATTTGTATATGTTACATGAATGTCAATTGGAAATCATTAAAATTTGATAAATTATAGCTAGCTTATGGTGGTTGCCAAACATTCTTAGGCGCAACATGTTACGAAACATGTGTTGAATTAATATATAGGGTGACTTAAAGAAATAAAAATATTATTTTTTATAGGGTGATTTAAAGAAATAAAAATATTATTTTTTTATTCTTTATTTTATTTATTAACACTCATGAATTATACCGTTGTAGACTTAATAGTATATCTACTTGTCAATGTGAACGTTTGAAGGCAAGGGATTTGTGGACAAAGAAGCATGGTCTGGTGTTAGTATGGGACAGTTGTTTATTTGTTTATTGTATTGCAAAAACGAAACCATGTGCCAGTTATTTTAGGTTGGAATCGATTAGCTGTTTATAGCCGTTTGTGATTTTTTTTTTTTTATTAGAAGAGATATTTAGAGAGAGATTATTAAGGTGTACTAAAAACAAGGAAAACAACTAGGAAGAATCATAATATTACAATGAAATCAACTGAGAGAAATTAACTGACAAATATAATTTCTTAAAAAAATACATATATAGCATATGAATATATTTTTTTTAATTTTAAATTATCACATCCAAATGCAAATAATATAGACGTGGCCAAATCCCTGTTTCGGTTCAGAACCGTTGGTTCAAGTTCGCATTTTAAGTGAACTGGAACTGGCCTGGGTATATATACAGATTGGTTCACGGTTCAGAACCGGCCGGCCTAACCGACAAATAAAAAAAATAAAAAAAAATCAATTTTTAAATTTGTTGAACCGCCTGTTCCGGTTCCAGTTTTGGTTCGGAACCGAAGCCGCCGGTTCAATTTGTGAAAGACATGAACCTGAATCGGCCTGGATAAATCCCCAGGCCTGTTCAAACTGTATATATATATATATATAACAGAGGTTAGTTTAAATAAAAACTAGTTCTGCTGTGAGAACCGTGAAAATCGTATTTGACGCTATTTTTCATTGTGTATGAAGTTATTTTTAGTATCACATGGTGCTATCATTCAAATGCTAATATAAATTGTATTGCTATTTTTTAATAAAATACATTCTAATTAAAATAACACTAAAACACAATAAAAATAGCACTACGTACAATTAAAAATAGCGCTTCTCAGAGTTATACCTTCATTAAATACATTGTGGTAATTTTCAACACAACAAACAAAGAGTTGGACCCCACTTTAATTAATACCCTTGCCATCAACTGGTCAACCACAGCAGGCCCCGTCCCTCTCTCACCCACCCCACCTCACCCTCTCTCTCTCACACACACACAGACACACACAACACACAACACACACACACCGCCGATTACCAATCGGCGTGCGCCGCCAGTCGCCCTCCCATTCCAGCATCAGTCACCGTCACCCTCAGCCGCATAGAATCCCCGACCCTCGCCGGCACACCTCACTGTCGCCCCGATTCTCGCCGACAGCGTGTCTGACAAATGACCTAGGCGCCGCTGCACATCACACACACATACACACACACACACACCCACACACACACCCCTCCACCAGAATTAAGTATGCAAAAAAATAAAAAAATAAAAGTCACAAGCAGCTCACTCCATGACATCCGCCCGTCGATAGCGTCGGTGACCATATCAGAGGCGCCGGCTATGGGGACATGCTCCGGAGGTACGACCTCACCGTCAACCACTGCAAGCAGGTGCCGCAAGCGACGATTTTCTACCTCTCCGGCGGCCGCAAGTGACGGCTTTCTGCTTCTCCGGCGCCCGCAAGCCGGCGCCGCTCCAGCTCCAAAACCAGTGCCGCAGGTCCGTCGCGGAGATCAGCTGAGTCGTCCAACTCCCCTGTCCGCCCGCCGACGAGGTATTGGACAGAAAGAAAACAACTGGCCGTTCACCAACGATAAGCTAGACGACCGGGATTGCCAAATCGGCTTTCATGGTGAGAGTAGAAATTGTTTCAAGAGTTGTTGGTGAAGGGGATTGAGATGGATATCCTACAAAATCAGTTTCAATAAATGGGGCATGCATTTGAGAGTTTGATAAATTTAAGGGACTTAACTGTAATTTTTTCAAATTTCATAAATTTCAATTCAATCAATGAGCCAAATTTATAATTTATATAAATTCAATAAAAAGTATTATATTTAATTTATTTTTTATACACATATTAAACTATTAAATAACAATAAATATAATATAAAATAATATAATAATAATAAAGAAAGATATTGAATAATAATTAAGTTTTTATAATATAATTAATATATTATTTCGATTATTTAGATAATTTCAGTTACCTAGGTTCATTGTTAATTTGGATTTGCATATGAAAAAATGCATATGAGGATACACAATAATTTTAAACGAGATGCACAACAATGACTATCGAACTATACAATAGTATTAGATCGAATGCACACTAATTTCGAGAATGCACATTGTAAGAAACTTGGGGAAAAACAGGTGCGGGCCCACTACCATGAAGCGCACCATGAACGGGGAAAAACTCTTACGAAGCCCAAGTGGGGTTCCATCCCAAAACCAATTGGTGGAAGGAGGAGTAACCCATTAAACTTATAAAGTAAGTCTATTTTCCATGTATGAACGATGTGGGACAACTCAGAAGTAATATTCTAACACGCCACCTCACTTGTGAGTCTTTCGAAAGCCCAAGTCCAACTGGCTGGGTGACGGGTACGTCATCGCACGGTCCCACTTAGAACCGGCTCTGATACCATGACAGAAACTGTAGGAAAACGAGAGCGGGCCCACTACCATGAAGCGCACCATGAACGGGAAAAAGCCCACATGAAGCCCAAGTGGGGTTCCATCCCAAAACCAATTGGTGAAAGGAAGAGTAGCCCGTTAGACTTATAAGGTGGGTCTATTTTCCATGTATGAACGATGTGGGACAACTCACAAGTGATATTCTAACACACATCAGCATAAGTGTGTATTTTAAATTGTATTGCTATTTTTTAATAAAATACATTCTAGTTAAAATAACACTAAAACACAATAAAAATAACAATGCGTACAATTAAAAATAGCGCTTCTCAAAGTTATACCTTCACTAAGAACATTGTGGTAATTTTCCACACAACAAACAAAGAGGTGGACCCCACTTTAATTAATACCCCTGCCAACTGCCAACCATCAACTGGTCAACCACAGCAGACCCCGCCCCTCTCTCACCCACTCCACCTCACCCTCTCTCTCTCACACACACACAGACACACACAACACACAACACACACACACATGGTGCACACACACTGCCGATTACCAATTGGCGTGCGCCGCCAGTCGCCCTCCCATACCAACATCAGCCACCGTCATCCTCAGCCGCATAGAAGCCCCGACCCTCGCCGGCACACCTCACTGTCGCCCCGATTCTCGCCGACAGCGTGTCTGACAAATGACCTAGGCGCCGCTGCACATAACACATCACACACACACACACACACACACCTCCACCGAAATTAAGTATGCAAAAAAATAAAAAAGTCATAAGCAGCTCACTCGCTGACATCCGCCCGTCGATAGCGTCGGCGACCATATCAGAGGCGCCGACTATGGGGAACATGCTCCGGAAGTACGACCTCAGTGTCAACCACTGCAAGCAGGTGCCGCAAGCGATGATTTTCTACCGCTCCGGCGGCCGCAAGTGACGGCTTTCTGCTTCTCCGGTGCCCGCCAAGCCGACGCCGTTCCAGCTCCAAAACCAGCGCCGCAGGTCCGTTGCGGAGACCAGCTGAGTCGTCCATCTCCCATGTCCGCCCGCCGACGAGGTATTGGACAAGAAGAAAACGACTGGCCGTTCACCATCGATAAGCTGGACGACCGAGATTGCCAAATCGGCTTTCACGGTGAGAATAGAAATTGTTTCAAGAGTTGCTGGCGAAGGGGATTGAGATGGATATCCTACAAAATCAGTTTCAATAAATCGGGCATGCATTTGAGAGTTTGATAAATTTAAGGGACTTAACTGTAATTTTATGAAATTTCATAAATTTCAATTCAATCAATGAGCCAAATTTATAATTTATATAAATTCAATAAAAAGTATTATATTTAATTTAATTTTTATCCACATATTAAACTATTAAATAACAATAAATATATTATAAAATAATATAAAAATAATAAATAAAGATATTGAATAATAATTAAGTTTTTTTAATATAATTAATATATTATTTCGATTATTTAGATAATTTCAGTTACCTAGGTTCATTGTTAGTTTGGATTTGCATATGAAAAGATGCATATGAGGATACACAATAATTTTAAACGAGATGCACAACAATGACTATCGAACTACACAATAGTATTAGATCGAATGCACACTAATTTCGAGAATTCACATTGTAAGAAACTTGGGGAAAAACGTGTGTGGGCCCACTACCATGAAGCGCACCATGAACGGGGAAAAGCCCTTATGAAACCCAAGTGGGGTTCCATCCAAAAACCAATTGGTGGAAGGAGGAGTAGCCAATTAGACTTACAAGATGGGTCTATTTTCCATGTATGAACGATGTGGGACAACTCACAAGTGATATTCTAACACGCCCCCTCACTTGTGAGTCCTTCGAAAGCCCAAGTCCAACTGGCTGGGTGACGGGTACGTCATCGCACGGTCCCACATAAAATCGGCTCTGATACCATGACAGAAACTGGGGAAAAACGGGTGCGGGCCCACTACCGTAAAGCGCATCATGAACGGGGAAAAGCCCATATGAAGCCCAAGTGGGGTTCCATCCCAAAACCAATTGGTGGAAGGAAGAGTAGCCCATATTCTAACACACATCAGCATAAGTGTGTTAACAAATATAAATGTCTTGGTTATTTTAGTTCGATTGCGAATTTATTTATAAAATAAATAACCAACTGAACTATGTAAAACATATTATTTATATTTGATCTATATATATATATTATTTATTTTCAACAAATAGTATTATAAAATACAACATAAAAAATTATAAATACTAAATATTTTTTTATTATATGAGTAGTTTGATAAATGCACAGTAAAATTAATTAAACTACACATTATTAAATTTTCTTAAAATTGAAATGCACATAAAAATATTCGCTCAATAGAATGCATGATAATGTTATACTGGATGCACATTTTAAGTTTGTGTACCTGCACTTTATCGTTTTTGATATTTAGTATATTATATTTTTTCAACCGAAAATAATATAAAAATAATGAATAAAATTATTAACATACTAAATATAATTTAGTTATAAATAACAAATTATTCTAATTATTTAGGATAATTCAATTAACCGACCGAAAAAACCAGGTAATTATGTTCGGTTTCATCCGATTTGGGAACAAAAGTTTGGTCAGTTCAATATGCACAATACCGACCGACACCGTGCACCATATTATTAGCCGAATTGCACATTGATAACTATCATGTTGCATATTATATTTTGTTTACATATATTTTATTTGTATGCTGGAACACACAATATTAATTTCAACATTTAATTATCGTCTTTTTTAACAAAAAAAAAATGATATAAAATATTAAATACAAATATTAAAATACTAAATATATTTTTATAATATGAATAATAAAATTATTTAAATTATTTAGGTTAATTCAATTAACCGATCGAATAAACCGATTATTTTGGTTCGATCTTAATTTGGGTTGGGACAAATAATTGAAAATGTTTGTGAGTGCACAATAGTGTGAGAGGAATTACACATTAATAGTTCTTAGATTGCACAATAGGAACCAAAATTGATAGAAACAAATTTTTCGGTTTGAACTTTTATATTTTGATTTTATTATATATTTTTAGTTTAAAGCGCATATATACACAAAATATTAATGAGGGGTATGTAATGACCAATTTGCCCCTATTAAGTGGTCAAATATGTACATTTAACCTCTAAGTGTATACTTATTTACCATATTGCAATTACTGATTGACTATTATTTATTAAATATTGACTTTATCTTAGACATTGATATAATGTATCCAATGATCCAGATTTATTGTCATTTCTTTCATTGTTGTGTGACTAAAATGTTATACTCTTAGAGACAACATAAACAAAAGTTTGATATTTGTAGTGTATTTTTTATTGTAAATTGTAATATATTAACCATAACTGTGTAACAGCCATAGTCCTTCGGGCTGAAGCTCCTTTGGCTGAAACTTTGGAAACTGGCAAATTTATGCCTAATTATACCATGCTTTTTCCATCCAACGGCAACCTTATCTTTCTGTTTCGTGGTAGACCAATTTATTTTTTATTGGCCATCTTTGTATTTGTAGCTAGCAAATATTTTGCTGACTAATAATAATAACTATTTGTCAGTCATATTTTTTTTAGTAAATAAATACTTTCAAATCCAAATATCATATTTTACCTTGTTGAACATAACAAATACATACTTTCAACAGTAACGTGGCCTGTTTGTGTCTTCAGCAAAGATCTCAATGGACTAATTTCAAAAGCAACACAAGGAAAACGAACAAAGCTTCTTTAATCTTACACGGTATTTCAGGAGAGATGATTTTGCCTTTACTTCGCCCGATAGAAAAAATTGACTACAATTCAAGAATCATTTGCCATGTAATTTAATTAAATCTCAACCCTCGTTTGAATAATAAAATACTGAACCAATTGAAATCCATATCGAACTTCCAAAGAAATTCCAGGCAGCAGCCAAGAAGACAATTCATGAACCAACGAGCTTATGGAAGTCAGAATAAAAATAGATCTTAAACATAAAATACTAGAAACAGTGCCATCACAAGATTCATTTCAGTTGTATATAACATGCAAACTACAGATAGATTTGTGACATTCAAGCCCACCTCCTTGTGGAGAACATTGATGAACACCTTGATGAGGGATCAAGATTCCTCCATTTGGTCCTGCATAAAACCGAAAATAAAACATTAATTCATTTCAATCTAGAGAAACACATTACCTATAAATTTTTATCACAGGTGGTAATAAAACACAATGATGCATCTTTCTAGGAAATAGTAGTCCATGGATGTAGGCGTAGATCATTATTCTCTGAGAGAGAGATGGGGAGTGGGAGTAGGAGAAAATATGGAGAAGCATATTCAATTTATTTGATTAGTTCACTTTTTTCAAGAGGGCAAAACAAAATCCCAATGATTTTGCATTTGCGGAACCATTCTTTAAAATTAGGCAAACAGAAAATCCCCAGCTGCTATTTTTCGTGCTCATAAACATTTGGATGACAGTGTATAAACTATGCAAAAACACGAGAGGATTTTGATTCTTGTAGTATCTGATGTAGAAGCATTGCTAATGGCTCTCTAGACGGTAATATGAACCTTAACTTATTATAGAAGAATGAACTAGCTCGACTTGGTTTTTGCAGGCATGAGATGGAGCAGAAATAATAAATTTCAAGGACAGTTCAAAATGGTGCACGAATAAGAATAATTTTCAATTAATTATCCAGTTAAACAGTTTTTCAGGACAAAATTTTGTTGCTACTGGGAATGGAAAAGCTAAAACCTCAATCGGGGGAAAGATTTTTCCTTCCCCAACAAATACTCAAATCCGAATCAGAGAAAAAGTCACTGCATTTATCTTTTACTTGAGTATTAAATTCAGCGTATGTGGTTAGCGAAAACGACGCACTAAAAAACTGGACCCAGATCGGATGTTAGACTCGCATATTAACAATCAATATGTTATCTCACATGATAAGCCCAGCCACATACACCAAGCTTTAACACATAATAGATACCTAACCAGTCCTAATATACTGTTGCTAAGGCATTTAAAGAGCCTCTGATAAACATGAAGCCCGAGATGCAGTCGAGTTAATGCTTCATGGTGGATCAGACCCCTTTGTCAACATAAGTCATCAAGCACCTTTGGACTATAAAGATACAAACTAGATTGCCATATTTAATCCATCTCATAAACTACCACAATGAAGTCTAAAAAATTATTGCTTCCACTAAATAAAGTGCAACATTGACTGAAAATACTATAACATAACCATATGCTAGATTTCTGATCATGATCTCCAAAATGGAGTCTTATACTCGTTTCTCAAAGAAATTTTACCTATGACCCCTATAGGTTCGGGGTTTGCTTTCACAAAAGAAAAAAAGGACAGACATTTTTGTTCCTTCAGCACACATCATTGTCACCAACCTGCACATCTGAGGTCCAAAGAGTGAGATTGTCCCTCAGAAGCTGCATAATGAGAGTACTATCCTTGTAAGACTCTTCACCCAAAGTGTCCAACTCAGCAATTGCTTCTTCAAAAGCCTGAACAGCCAGAAAAATAAATGATAAAAAATAAATTATTCAGTTTCCCACAAACAAAATGGACATACCGTCCCAGATGACATGCAAATGCTCAACAAGATTACATGCTTATTAATTATTAAGATCTAAGGGTAACGAAACATGTAGCATATAGATTATTGAAAGCAGCAAAAGTGTGAGAAAGCTAGCACCAGAGTCTATACAAAGTCGTGGTTTTCATGTTTAAAGAGGTACATCCTGGAACTGTTGCTAATTATTCTCGGTCAAGCACGGCTTCTACAGAAGTAAACATCTTGTTGGCTAACTAGGTCAACGCATCATGGTACAGATTTCTTATTTTCTTTAAAGATGTTGCAGGAACAGAACATGTACCGTATGCAGCAAAGTCTATTAAGCACCGTTAATTTAAATTAGTAATGAACAGCGGCATGATAAGTTGAGGCAAAGCATTACTGAACTATACAACAGAAGAGAACTACAAACCTGTTTCGCCATGCTGCAAGCTTTGTCAGATGCATTAAGAATTTCATAGTAAAAGACTGAGTAGTTCAATGCCAAGCCCAACCGTATAGGATGCGTAGGTGCAAGATCAGCAAGTGCAATATCCTGCATATAATGAATTACATTATTAAAAGATCAGTTACAACAGAACAAATACAGCATGGAGAGTTTCTTCATCACCTTATTTTTTCATTTAAAAAATAATGATTTCAAAAGAAAAAAGTACAAAGTCATGTACAACCATAAAAATACAAAAGGTATCTATGCTTGGAAATAGCATACACCCCTTCATATGAAAGAGTAAATGGTGGCGGTGATATTTTCTCAAGATCCTTGAACCACAAATGCAATCGTAATATTCACACAAAAAATATGCATACATACATATATATATGCATACAAATATATTTTTATATATAAATTATCTACATAAAACTCACACAAAATTCCTATGGGAGCTTAGTCATTGATAGTACATATGTATATATACCTCAAGAAAGTTAGCTACAATTATAAGAGTGTTATGTTTCAGATGTGACCTCTTTAAATTATTCATTAAACAACTTTCAATTTCTCAAACATTAGGTAAACCAGCCTAATACTAAGTGGCCTGCATATAATAAGTGGCCTGCATACAACTTTAAATCATCCACTCATTATTATATACTAAGTGGCCTGCATATAGCTCTAATAAATTGACAAGGTAGACACGGTATTTACAGCCTCAATGGTAACTGTTATTTCTCACAACACTCTTACTTTAGCATGATCTAGTACACACACTTGAGATTTCAAACGGTGTTTCCTTTAGTTGCAACTGTTATTTCTCACAACACTCTTACTTTAGCATGATCTAGTACACACACTTGAGATTTCAAACGGAGTTTCCTTTAGTTGCAACGTAATAGGCTTCAAGTCAACGTCTTTGACCTGATAATGTCAGTTTCCAGATATTTTAAAGTGATGACAACGCTCGCAAGTCAATATGACAATGCTTAAATCTAGTTCTTGATGTATCATTTTTACCATGCATTGCTCATTTAGAATGTTCCTTACATCATGAACCTAAATAGATGAGTTCCAAATAGGGAATGACGTGGGCACTGCCCCTGGCCCATCTAAGTCAAAACTCAAAACACGGAATAAATCAATATTGAAATCCCCTCATTGGCGTGCTGGCTGCATCACTGAATTTAATTAGTTCATCTTTGATATCTCCAACTCAATGTTAAACATTTCAAATGGAACTCTTAACTCTAAATCTGGACAAAACGTAATCAAGACTGTCCTTTTCCACACTGAAAAATCAGAGGCAGCAGCAAGGGGGAAAAACAACACTAATAAGGACCATTACATCAACACTTCAATAGAGAGAAGAGACCGAGAGGGCACGTAAGATTTGCTACGATTTGGCCAGTAACCACCATACCAAAACGTAAAGACTCCAAATTTCCCTAAAATAGATACCCTTAAAAACGAATTGCGTGCATAATGAATCACAGCAAAATACCTGAGCAGCTTTATAGGAAGACATAGTCTCCTCTGCGGCCACCTTGCGCTCGTCCCCAACCTTGAACTCCGCCATGTACCTGTGGTAATCCCCCTTCATCTTCAAGTAGAACACCTTAGACTCGCTCGAGGCCGCCGACGGGATCAAGTGATCGGCTAAGAGCTTCAGAACCCCGGCACAGACCTTGGACAGCTCGGCCTCGACCTTGGATCTGTAGTCCTTGACAAGTACCACGTGTTCCTCGTTCTTGCGGCCTTCCTCCTTCTGCTCGATGGAGGAAACGATGCGCCAGGCGGCACGGAGGGAGCCGATCACGTTCTTGTAGGCCACAGAGAGGAGGTTGCGCTCCTCGACCGAGAGCTCAGAGCCGGCGGCGCCGGCAACAAGGCTGTCCATGAACTGGACCATCTCCTCGTAGCGCTCGGCTTGCTCGGCCAGCTTGGCCATGTACAGATACTGCTCGCGCGTCAGGGCCATCGGTAAATCGAAAAGGGATGAGGATTTCGAGGGAGAAGAAATAGGAAGGAATTATGAGGGAAATCTGAAGAAAAGGGGTTGAAATCGAAGTATATAGTGAGTTGAGTTTAGGGTTGGGGAAATTTTGGCGGCGTGTGGGACCAAGATATGCTTATTTGCATTATTTAGTTGCTTCTTTTTTGTTAAACATATTGATAACAAGAGTTTTATGAGTTGTGAAAGATCACACGTTATAATTAGACTATTCAATTACTATTAGGATTGTTACGTATTTTTAAGACTTTTTAAAATGGAAGATTTTTGTGCATTTTATGCAACTTTTAATGAATTTTGTGAGATTGTTATAAAGACTTTCAATGTGAACTTCTTGAGACTTTATAAGACTTTTAATTCTTAATATAATAATTAAATTTGAATAAAATATTCATAAAAAATTATGTGCATAATAGTTAATATCAATAATATCAAATGTGTAATTAAAAAATTATAATATTAATTTAAAATCTATTATGGTATTAAACACTATCTATTGAATTAGAATGAAGAATTTTGGGATAACAAGATGAAACATTCATCTTCAAACCAAAACTAGGCAGCTTAATAAAAGCATCTCCACAAAAGGTTGCTCCTCATATTAAAGGGCCATTACATATTGTATTACTGTTTTACCTTCTGTATGAACTTGGAACTCGTATTTTCTATCCTACGTAGGCACCAATTATTCGATAATAATTGGATCTCAAACAATTTTGATTAGTTTGGTGCTAATGAGATTACCAATTCTTATTGGAGTAGATGTCTAATCCTTAATTTTACATATTACTGAGTAGATTTGTTGTAATCTAGTTAGCACTACAAAAATATCAACTACAAAATTTGAATTAATCAACAATTCATAGAATCAATCATGCAATATGTATGGTTTTTTACCTTGAAAGCGGAGAGAGAAAAGAGTATGAGAGTACTTGGTAGAAGAGAAACAGAAGAGTCTTTCACGTAAAATCTCACATATTTGGCGAGATTTTAATTAACAAGGATTTTTTCTTTATACTTTTGGTAAAAAAGTCTCCAAAAATCTCCTACTTTTAAAAATCTCATAAAATCTTATTAACTTGAATAACATACAATTTTTAGAGACTCTTGAAAAATTTTAATTGAATACATGTAAATTTTTTTACAGTCTCAAAAAATTACAATTGAATACTCCCATATTTCAAAAGTCTTAAAAAGTCTCTACAAGTCCTAATTGAATACTTCCCCTCTAGAGTATTTACAATGTTTTATGTTCATTTAAAAAATTTAACATGTTATGTAAAAAATAAACTCAACTTAGAGAAATATATTCTCAATGCAATTGCTGGTGGACTGAGCAGGGACGGAGCGAGGATTTAAAACTTATTCGGGCTAAAATTATATTATATATTAAATAAAAAATTATGTAAAAAAAAATTGAGTTCTTTTGCAACCAATATATTTTTTGAAACATATTTTATAACTAGAATATATTATTTAGTTTGAATTTAGGATTGGACTTAAAAAAGTCAATGACACTTTATTATGACAACAAGAGAGAGAGAGAACACTTATTGAGAAATAATTTGATTGTTGAACAATTATTTCTCAAATTTCAAAAAGCTATTTAATTTTGTGAAGATAATACCCCTCAAATGATATTTATGAGATAGTTATTTAAATTTAAAATTGTTTGATTATTTTTTTATTGTGATTATGCCATGTACTTTAATTAGTTAGACTACAATTATAAGATTTTTCAATTTCAATTTTAATTATATATATATATATATGCTTGTTCCCAAAAAATTGTACCTGGGCTAAAGCCCATGAACACTTGTACATGGCTCCGTCATTGGGACTGAGTCCTGCTAATATAACAGCAAGAAAAATAAACTCGGTCTACTCCTAAGTCTATTTTACACCCAAATAGATATGTAATCCTTTGTAGTAGAGTAAATTATGTTTCTTTTATGTAGTTCTATCCACGTCATTCAAAACTTAGGTCTATTTACATGGCACGTAAGCAAAAATAGACTCAGGGCATTATAGATGCTTCAATTGAGAAAGTTGAATATATCAATTTGGGATTGTAGATATTTAACATTATCAATTTACTAGAAAGGTAACGGTTGTGTATCCACAGTCGGCTCACGAGTACAGTGTTGTTAGTGATGTGCTTCATTTTTGCTCTATTATGTATATATACCAGCCGCAATATTTTTAGAACAAACATTTGGTAAAGAAATGTAAATTTAAATACTACCAACCTGGTGTGTAATAGACATATGTCTGGCTTACACGACTTGATCTGCATCTTGGCCTGTTCGTAGACCTGCAAAATAGTCGAGTGAGGTTCTCGGCGTTAGTACTCCGACAATCAAGTCAGTCCACAGATGAAGAAGACGGTGAACAGTAGTGATATGGGATACTATATTGGGTCGAATAGACATGAAAAACCAGTAAGTCGTGTTGGGCAAATCGACTGGTCGAACTAAGTTACCGGCAGGTTGAACAGAGGTCGAAGGAGCTATAGGTCGAAGAGGTCGTCACAGACCAAATAGGTACCGACAGGTCAAGCTAGGGCCTTCGGATGGACTGGATGAAACTCGACTTGAATGTATGACTGGGCAATGGATCGATAAGAAGAGCAGAGCGTACGAGCTTAGTATAGACAACACTCAACCTCGAGGTGAATCGGGTCGGTCGCAAGATTACACCGTCTAATAAGGCTGACTAATGGATAGGAGAGAATATTATTAAGATAAGAACCACAAGTGGATAGGTCCACGTGACCTAACAGATTGGGCAGTTCGGGCAGTAGGACGGGCAGTCTTGATCCAAGTACAGTCACGATCGTTGTCCCTTCACCTTCTCCTTTTAATCTCCTCCGCCCATTTTCATCATGATACAACGCTTAGGGTCGTTCGACCTCTCGGTGCTTCCCTTTCCTTTTGTTATAAATACAACTCCTAAACCGTTTTTTCAACTTTTCTACCTCTGTCAAGCTTCCTTGCGATATACCTCCGTAAAGTTTCGAGTTTTCGCCGTCTAGATACCATCGTCGACCACCGTGCTCTACAATTTCCCCAGAACAACCAATAATCTTTACGATGTCGATGAGTAAGTTTTTCTTCCTTGTTTCAATTATCTATTTGCATATAGATTTTTTTTTCAATTTTCTTCTTTGCCTTTTCATCTCCCGAACATCCATTATAAAACCGTTTTCTTAAAAATAATTGGAGTTTTCATTAAATGATTTTTTTATATAAACATAAAAATTATATTTTTCATTACAAAAATATTTATATAAACCTTTTTAAGTAACATATCCAGCAAATTAATGGACAATAAATTATATATTTAAATTTTTCCCATATTTTATATAAGATATTGTTTACTATTTTATGTTCATTTCATATATTTAATTTATAAATATTATTTCTAGTATTTTCTCATATTTTTCATGTATATATCCTTGGTTAATTAAATAAGAATTTTTTGGTACCAAAGACGGTTTTTTTCCATTCAAAAAATGGAGACAAAGCGGACAAGTCGAACCGGCTAACAATCCTTTTAATAAACCCTAGCATTTATCATTTACCATCTACCGTCACTATAAGTACTGCTCGGAAACCCTACCTTCCTCACCACACCCAAAAGATGGAGACACTCACAGCTCGAGGCATCTCCAACATTCCTTCACTCCGGCCGGGGAACCTCGCTCCCAGCCACCTTCAACCCATCCATTGTAGAATTCGGCCTCATTTCATCCGCCAGCAGCTCGGCTTCATGTCTGGTTAATGTCATTTCTTATTTTCCATATATTCCGTTGGATTTGGTGGTGTTTACTTCATTACTGCATTTTTCTTTTTATAGATATAGATATATTTTTCTGTCATGTTTTGGTTGAGCTTTCAATGTTTTGGATTTGGTGCGCTGTTATTCTCTTTGGTAATCCATAAATTTTTTCTATCGAACCCTTCTTTTTTACCTCTTTCTTCAATATCATCTTTTTCATCTTGTGTTTTATTATGAAAAATTACTTTCATTAGTCGAATTGCTAAATGCAAATTCATTTTTTCTTTTTTTTTTGGGATAACAGGTTTGAGATGCTGTCCCAATTTAGTTGTGAGGTCATCTTCATCTGAGGGAACTTCAACGGAGACAACTCTATATGGAAAAGACGAACAAGAAGCTAATGTTGGGATTATTGTGAAAGACACCCGACCCGATAATGAGAAAGAAGATTATGATACAAACCAGCTAAATGAAGGGTCGCAAGAAGGCGCTATGGTTAACACGGAGTTGTTTAAGTTCCTCGAGAAAATCGACCTTAAGGTGTGTTCTACCCTGTTTCGTTGTGTTTACTTTGTATAGTGTCCTAAAGTCATTTTGCATCTTCAGTTTACTATATTATTACTAGAATCTTGATTTGTAGTGTCAAACATTGAAATTGAACTGATTTGGTTTGGGGGTTTTTAATGATAAGATTTTCTGTTGTCAATTGTTTTCTCCTCTTAGTAGTTTGATATATGGGTCATCATCGTCAGGGAACAATGAAAGTCATTGTTGGTTGCTGTGATGAGTAATTTCAGCTCTTTGAAAGCATATGAATGCTACATGAAAAGTCGACTATTGAGTCGATCTGAGCGGTTACCTGAGCAACCTTATGCAATAAGAATTGTTTAGATTTATTTCATTTCATTATACTGTACTTTATTTATTTGTGTTTTGATGAGCCCATATATTTGTTTAGTGATTTTCATCCCTTGGATCTTTTACTTCCAAGTGTTCCTGAAGACTGTATATGAAGGTGCAGAGAAGTTCCCTACCTTCTTTTGAGTATAAAACCATGTATGAATTTTATATTGTTTTCAGATTGAATCGAATTCTTGTCCAATATATATATATATATATATATATATATAGTTAGTTAGTTAGTTAGTTTCTTGAATGTTGAGCATCTTACTGGGAAGTGCAAAACCCTCCCTGTGTGAAAATGATAGTCATCTGTAACGTAAAAATGCCGATGTTGTCAGTTATCACTATGAAATTGTATGATTTTTTAACAAATGTGATTTTTCCAGCAAGGTATATTCAGTGGTAAGTAAAATACTGCCATTTTGTTTACATGTGTTCTCCTGGCATTCAACACTGTAATCAATAAATATTAATACTGGATTATGAGATTAAACAAATGTGTTATTCAATTTCCAGTTTGACTATCAAGATACTTATTCACTACTTGTTGTCGGTGGTGGTGGTGCTTTCGCACTCTGGCTAGCTGTTGCTGTTGTTGGAGCTGTTGATTCTATACCACTGGTGGGTTTTTTTTCTGTGATGTGTGTAATAAATTTTTCTTTCTATGATGCAAGCAAGCAATACCTCTTACTAAATGCAAGATGGTTTCAATTTGATCAAATTTTAGTTGCCAAAAGTGTTGGAACTTATCGGTCTTGGGTACACAATCTGGTTCAGCTCTCGCTATTTGATTTTCAAGGTTGGCATCCTAAATAAGTCCCCATTTTGTAATTCTGCGCTGCCCTTTATGAAATTTGATACAGTTAAATTTGTGTAAAGTGTAATTTTTTCTGTTTCTGGTTTGGCAGGAAAATAGAGATGAATTGTTTTCCAAAGTACAACAGATAAAGCAGGAGGTGCTTGGCTCAAAGGGCGACTAGTTCTGCTGAAGGCTGAGTAGGATGAAGCTGTGAGAAAAACTAGGACTCTTGTTTAGTTGAATCTTTCAATGTACAAAGTATATGGTTATGCATATGCACAACCAAGATTTGTTAAAGAATGTCTTATTATTGTCAATGGATTATAATATGATATTGACATCAGCATAATTGGTATGTATTGCTGTTACCTCATCAACTAGGATACTGAGATTGTTGGTTAGCAAGTTAGGTAAAGTTTTATATTATATAATATAGTTAATAATTAAATAGTGCAATTCTATAGTGCTTAATAGCTGATGCGCTCCAAAAAAAAAAGTGCCTCTAAATAAAACAAAATCACTCACTCCAAGACAGAGGAACCAACTATTTCTATCTGAGTGTCATTCCTTTACCAACATGTCTAAATGAATGCTCACAAAGGTAAATGAGAGTTGCATAATTAATACCTAACAAAATGTCTTTTGTTGTCATATTCAGTTTTTCTTCCAATATGGATTTCTATTGCTAAAACCATGTCTGCTCAATTTACTTTGATGTGTTTTCCTCCTGATCATGGACACAATACTATCCATGTTTAAGTTCACCTTGGGAGGATTATGAATACAAAATGAAGCAGCCACAGCCTGCCAAAAACAACAAAAATGGCCGTCAGAAACAATCAGCAAACTGTGGATATATAAAATGATGGAGGCTTCTTTTGATCATCATAAAAAAACTGCATCTTCTTTCTCATCTGAGTTATATATGTAATTTTTGTTCCTTTCCTTTGCAATAGCAATTTCTATTTTCCTATTTTTCCCTTGGTGTAATTGTTAATGAACATAAAATGGTCGAATTCTCAAAAAACCTAAACAAGCATATCACTAAAATCTTTCATTTTGTTGACAGAAGGCAAATTCAACATCAACGTCCTTTCAAAGACTTCAAATATTACTCGAGCATTTCCATTTTCGATTAGTAACCGCCCAATGGGAAAAAGAGTGTAAATACCTGTAGATCAAGCCGGTGTATATTAAAAATGTCCTTCGTAGAATGCCCTTTGTATGACTCAAGATAAGATTTGTACGCATCTTTAGCCGATTTGTTCAGATAATAGTTGTTTGAGACCAGCCTTTCCTGTATCACATGCACACGGGCTTGATATTTGATAAAACCTCGTTTTATATATATAAAAAAAATAAAAAGTCATGTAAACAAGATTTTACCAGGTGGGATTGGACGTTGGGTAACTTCTTCTGATCAAACTCATACTCTTTGAGGGGCACTTTTGCAGCCTGGAATTTCAGCGATCCGTTAGCAGATTATTCAATGAATCAACTAAAAAAAATTAGTTTCGATCAAACACAAGTACTTCAAAATTCAAATCATAAACCACCTTGTAAATTTGGAGAGCCGTTCAACACTTACAGCAGTAAATAATACACTTTGAGTAAAGAATCATTAAGAAAACAAAATCTATTGATGGAATGAAAAGGCAATTCTACGGCAATGGAAGAATTTCATTGCTTCCTCTTTCAGAGATGCATGCTTAATTGGAATTAATGACATGCAAAGGCGAAATGTTAGCTAAACTAAAAGCGATAATTTTATTAGTCATTGTACCAACAGAAGGATATAGAGTGGAAGGTTAAAAAAAAAAAAAAAAGACCAAGTCAGTTATTGTATGGCCAAATTCTACTAATTGATGTGGTGTATTTTTCATCGAAACCAAATAAAACAGACCTTAAGGTGAATTAGAAACTGTAACTCTTCAGGAATCNTCGTTCTTTAAATATCTCTGACGGGTTTTGTTTTGATTTTTTAATATGACTTTTGAGTTTGCTTGTTGTGATTCATCCCATTCCAAATGTTTTTTATATCTTTTCTTTTTTCGTGTTATTTAGAGGTTATAACAAAATAAATCAGCATACCACATTAGGAATATCAAGACCACGTGCAGCTACGTTAGTGCATAATAAGATGCCCTTCTCAGCTTTGCAGAAATCGAAAAATGCTGAGGTTCGTTTCTGCTGCTTTTGCTTGCCATAGATATCGAGACAATCAATCTGAATGTATCTAAGAAGCTCCGCATGAAACTTTACCGACATGCGAGAGGAAAAGAAAACCATCACTTTCTTCGACAAATTCCTCTTCAAGAAGGCATAGAGAAGAAGAAATCTCTGGGCAGTTGGGACAACACAATAGCCTTGCTTGAGCCCATCATTGGTAACCTTACATGGTCCAATAATAGAAATTAGTACAAATGGTGGGTCCCAAATTTAATTTATCAACTATAGGAAATATGAAATTTACGGTTTACCTTCTTCCTTCCGTCATCCACATCTATGTAGACAGGACTTGTCTCAAATGATAAACGTGCAAGATCCTCAACCTGAAATCAATAAATTAAATTTTTTTCCATTTAAGTTCATCAAGCAGAAAATTGTCCCAATATTTGGAGAATTTTAATCCGTGTATCATATCATAATTCTTAAAAACAGCTAGAGTTTCAACCGGGAAAGGATAAGTACCTTTTTTGTTTGTGTGGCGGAGAAAAGTGCTGTTTGTCTCGCCTGGGAAATAGTTTATCAGATAATTAACAAAGAGCAATTATATATGAGGCACTGAAACAGAATAGCAAGTTCAGTTAACTGACCAACCCATAGGCCATAGCCTGGCTATAAGTAAGTACCTTGGGCAGAATTTTAATGATTTGCTTCATTTCCTCCTCAAAATTGGCTTCCAAAATTCTATCAGCTTCATCAATCATGAGGCACTGCACATCCCAGGATGAACATAATATGCAGGACAAGAATCGTTCGGCCATAAAAGTAGTTTCAGCAAATAAAGAGGATGAGAACGATTAGGTGAAACTGTGTGTCAGAATTCAATTATGAAACTATATATATGTAATATCCATGTGCAGGAGATATGATCTTTGGCAAATAGGCACATAGGGAAAAATGGATTTAACAATTATACTTCTTTAACCATACAATATTGTTTTTCTTTTTTAAATCAAAGTTATTGCAAGAATATGACACAAATAACTCAACTTCCATACAGTTGTAACAGCCATATTAGAAAGAAATGATAAATCAAATTAGGCTCATAGAAAAAAAAAATAAAAAAAAAAAAAAATTATACCTTTAGGTTCTTATACATAAAGCCTTTGGTGTTCTGAAGATGGTCAAGAAGTCGACCAGGGGTTGCTACCAAGAGATTTACTCCTTTGGAAAGTAATCCAGCTTCTGCTTTACGAGCCGAGCCACCAATTACCAGTCCAACTGTTTGCGAATGGTACTTCAGAAGGTCCTTTGCCACAGCATGAGTCTGTTTGCACCACAAAGATGAAGGCTAGTCTCAAGAATTGCAAACATAAATACTCACATGCCTAACTCTCTCTAGAAAAAACCAGTTAAACTTGCAGAAAGTTGAATAACACGCAGATAAGCCCATACTTGCAACTTAAATAACACGCATCACAAAAAATGTTCGTTTATACTTAATAATTTATACCTGCATGGCCAACTCCCTAGTGGGGCAAATGACAATAACACCAGTCCCATTTCTTGGAGCGAAATTGACATTGTACAACAACTCAACAGCTGGTATTAGAAAGGCGAGGGTTTTCCCAGAGCCAGTCCTTGCAGCCCCAAGCACATCTTTGCCTTCGAGTAGGGGCGAAATCGCTCTAGCTTGGATCTTCATCACGCAACAAAAATAAAAGTTCAAGATTATTACGGCTAAAAGAACAGCAAGATTCCTCTACCATAAAGTAGTCAAAATGCAATCTTGAGTGGTTATAGATTATAGAGTTCAAAACTTTGACAAACAAAGCTGTTAGAGAATGAAACTCTCGAAGTCTCACATAACACAATTCATCGACAAACCACATGATGGGACCAAAACAATATAACAAATGTAATGTTCATCAGTTATTCTCCAAAAAATCAGAAAGCACAATAAACTAAATACATTCACCAGTCAAGACCCAAGATAAACCCATCTGCCCATCAAGAAAATCCTTACCTGGGTCATGTACTGAAAACCCATGTCCTTAATGGCGTTCTTGGTGGGCCCAGATATCGAAAGGGAAGAAAAGGTCTCAGCGCTCATAATCCCTGAGCTGCTTTTTCCATGGCCAATTTCTCCATTGAAGCCAACCTCGGCTCTCTTCAGTTTCTTCTTAATTTTGGCATCATCGTCTTCTTCTTGTTGAAGATGAGGTCGTGCGGTTTTGGCCGTGTTTGTCCTGTCTCTCTTTCTCTTGGGGGCGTCCATGGCCGTGTCCTGGAGGCGGCGGGCAACAGTGTATTTTTGAGAGGCGAGGTACGAATATCTTATTTGAAGTTGGTTACCCTCCAAATAGAGCTGTCAAAGGCGGCGCCAGCCCGTCGAGCTAGATTTTGATGTGGGGCCCGGTCCATATTGTTTTTAGTTCAAATCAGGCCCATATATAAAACAATTGTTAAAGGTGAATGAGTTCGAGGAGAAGTATAACAATAATAAACGAAAAAATTACTCTCCTCACGAAGCTCGGGCACGTGGAGATATCAAGCAATATATGTTGCGTGTATAGATAATATATTTTCAATATGTGTTTTCGTCGGTCTGCACTTCATGTGTTTATCATCTGGCCTGCATTTCATTTGTTTTTATTTGATTGATAGTCTTTTGATTCTTTAATATTGTCAGAAGATTTCGGCTTTTATTTGGGATCGTCCTGTTGTGATCCATGATCAATTTATAATATGTATATGATAGTTCATACATTGAAAAAAAAAATCAAACGTTACAATTTATATATATTGAAAGAGGTTGATGGAAAAATCATTTGTAGAAAGTTCATTAAAAAAATGAGTCAAAACCTTTGACTTACTTATTTTTGAAATTTGATTTAAATTTAAATTTTGATTGACTTTTGATCTTTACGTATTTAAAATTCGTAATGGCAAAGATTTGAATTGCTTATTTATGGTACAAATTTCCTATTTGCTTCAAATCCGATGCCATTTATAAAGGATTTTGTTACTTATTTATTTGGATTACTCTGATGTTCTTAATTGCTAACCGTTCGATCGGGTGTATTAAAACAAAATTGGGCTTACGTAATTGAGGCATTGGAGCTAATCTGGGCTGGATATTTTTGGTTTATTTGGCGCAAATTTTAATTTATTTGGGTTGATTTTAATGGGCCGGTTTTAGTAAAAAAAAAAAATGGATCGGTTCATTAATATAAATGGGCCAATATGTTGATTTTTGCAATAAGAATTGAGTTGCATTATTTTTATTATGGGGCCGATTATTTGGTTCAATTATGTGTTTGGTAAATTTGATCCGATGTTTTATTTAATTGTGCTGCTTTACAATATTTATATACATTACATAATATGCTATCCATTGTATGGATTTTATGTGCTTAATAAAAAAAAATGTGTAGTTTTTTATCCAAGTTATATTTTCTTTCTTAATTAGTATTTGTATGATTAATATGTAATAAATGTTGATAGTTTATTGTTTTTATTAACAATGTTATTAATTTTGTATTTTTTAAAATTCCCTTTATTTTTATAAATTGAATCAAAATAATATGTTATTTGAACTTCACTTATATAGGTACTATGGATTTCGATTTGCGCAGTGAATCAACTGTTAGTAAACGACAAATGACAATTAGAATATACGTTTAAACTAAATGATACATAGTTTATAAATCTCTATTTTATTTAAATATGTATTTTTATCTCTATTAAAAATAATTTTAAATGTAGCAAAATTTCTTTAAAAATTTGTAACGATACTACCAGTCTGATCGATTGGTGTTGACCGGTTTGCTAGCCAATATTTTATTCAAGCGAACCGGACTGGTGGATAAAATGATTCTCGACCCATCCGATCAAATTGTCCTGTCTGGTCCGGTTTTGAAAATAATGGGTAAATCGTGATTAATGTTATTTATATTTAATTCATAATATAATCGTAATATTGTTTCCCTGTGCCTCGCACGTGCCACTTATTAGTTGTGGTTAGATAACAATGTTATGTAAATAAAAAACGCAACATATATTGAATATATATTGACTATAAACGTTGAACCAAAATTCAAACATCACAATTGTGTTTAGATAAAAAAAAAAAATATTATGTAAATAAAAAACGCAGTATATACTAAATATATACTGAACAATAGTGGTCAGAGAAAAATATTATATAAATTAAAAATGCAGTATATACTGAATATATACTGTCTATTCAAAACAACTCAGAGCTGAAATTCTAATAACCTACTCAGTTTAAGGGGAGGCAGTTACATTTTATTTGGTAACTGAAACCTCATAATTTGGTGCATCTTTGCAATTAATTGGCATTTATAAAGATGCAAATAAAATTTTCTCCATCGTAAAATTGTAATTATTTACAAATCACATGGTAAAGGTGAAAATTCGCCATAAAGAAAGTTATTTTCTCCATTTTTTCTTTATAGTGTTTTGGTCCATGCATAATTCCAGTTCACCGGATTTTCTTCAATTTTACCGTTGTATCTTGGGAAATAGACACTCATACGCGGCGAATCTGTTTTAAGGACACTGTGTTTCCACATGTCTCGGTGTTTATTATAAAGTCATCTTATTTTTTTATTTTTTCGATAAAATTTCCTACATTTGCTACAACAAAAAGAGTTCTGATGGGTAGTAGTAGTACGCTCCCTGAAGGGATTTTAAAATTAATTGCTTCGATTTTTATTTAATTATCTTTGGTATTCGAATACTATTGCGTACTATATTTTATTCTCAAATCCATATTAAATAAAAAATACCTTTTTTTTAATCTACATCTTCTTCTTTCTTTTCTATATGTCACTTTACTTGCAAGCAACCAAAAAGACGCTCATCAAGCTTGTTTGGTTATACAACCTCACATGTGCAACATGTAATTGTTCTTTTATTTATTTATTTATATGCACCAAAATTTCCTTATTTCGTGCGGGGGTGCCTAACGTGTGATCAATTGATTTGAGGAAGTTTGTTGAAAATGGGTTAGGATTTGAAACTTTGATATACAAAATTCAAATTTGAGTGAATCCAGCCAAATTGGACCCAATGTCATAATGTGAATCATTTTCCACCCAACCCGATCACTCATAAGTTAACGTTCCTTTAACTATAGTTAATTTTGGAAAAAAGAGGTATGGTTAGTTGTTAGTGGATATATATAAATAATATTTAAATAAAATAATTAAAGTTGATTTGACGTAAAGTAGGAGAAAAATGATTGGAAGTGATGGTTAGTTAAAATTATGTGAGTGGATGAATAGTGAATTAAAGTTGATTTGATGTGTAAGAATGATTGGTTGATATTATTTAATTATATTGGTAATATTGAACATAGTGAGATTGAGTTAAAGTTGAGTTAAATTTGAGTTTTGATTGAATTTTTTACTATTCAATTTATATCCAATCGCCCCCTTAGTCCCTACTAGAAGTGATATTAATTGAGAAAAACAGACATGGAACTGAAAAATGAAATAAGTGTGTTCAAATAAAGCACTTCAATAGATGTAACACCCCTTACCTAGCCCTGAGCAACAGTACGATTTCTGTGAAAAACTGCACCGAAAAAAAAAGCACTAAAAATCGAATCTATGACAAAAATAACTGGAATCAACGGCAATTAGAAAAAAATCGAACCGAAACTGAATCGAAGGCTTTTTACATGGAAATAATTGAACCAAACCGCACCGGCACGGCTCAACACGATTTTCGATTTTGTCACGATTATTCTATTCATTTTATTCAATTTAGTGTAGTTCAGTGCAAAAACGCAGAGAATCGAACAAAATCGAAATCAAACTTATAAAAAACTTAAACTGCACCGCGCGCAATATAGGAAAGAACCGAGCCGAACTAAATCAAAAACTTTTTACATTGAAAAAATTGAACCGCACCAAATTGCACGATTCTGTTCGATTTTTTGATTTCGACTCTGTTTTGCTCACCCAACCCTCACTACAAAGTACCAATTTTTATGAAGAAAAACATTTCACATATTAAATAATAATTACCACTAACTACAACACCACATTGTAAAATTGCAAAAATAAATAGTGTCACTTAAATGCAATGTCCTTCTTTAGTAACTCACTCGAACTAAGTCTTGTTTCAGGTGTATGGGTCGGAAAACAAGGATATGTCCTGATATTTTATGGTATAGCCATGGACAATAATCAAAGAGAAAAAAAAAATTATGTTAGTTTCTACTAGTATAATACTCGTGTATTACACAAGTGTTTGTAACGCCTCGGGATAAAGAGATAATATGGTACCACAAAAAATAATTATTCTTGAATTTTAAAATTAATCAGAAAATTGTTTTAAATTTTATTTATTTTTTTACAAAAAATATATATTATTATATATTTTAGAATGACACTTGTTACTTGTGCGACTTAAATGTGTTATATTATAGTAATTTTTTAACTTATATCGTATAACTACTTGAAATATAAATATATTAATTGATAAATAATTTTATTTTTATTATTAATATTAAAAAATAATTTTATTATTGTTATAAAGATAAATATAATTAGCTTTTTTACACCTACAATATGAATGTTAAATCGAAGCTCATCAAGAGATGGTTAATTTGATATATTATATATGTAAAGCTGATAAAAAAGTTATTAACTTTTAAAGTACATTTACAATTCAACGATTATAATAAGAAATGATATCAAAATGCAATTAATACATATAACATGACCATAAATAATGAAAATATTTATGGATAATCCGAACCTAATTATTTTTGGATTGGAATTAAATTAAAAATCCTATAGGATACCCCAGTTTTGCTATGGAGCCATCGGATGGCTCGACTTATGGAGTCATCCACACTTATTCACTAATAGTGTATTGACACGTATCCTGCAATAAATACAATTTGGACAAGTGTCAATACATTAAGTGGTGGATGGCTACATAAGAAAATCATCCGATGGCTCCATAGAATTTTTGTAGGATACCCAAGCCTAATAACAAAGTATGTAATTTTGCCATATAGGATACCGAAACATGCGAACCTACCACTTAGAGGATTTCATCCATTTAAATGACTGATATGGGTATAATTGTAACGTCATTTTAGAATTAGTCATCCATCGAAATTAAAATTAACAATCGAGAAAAAAAAAAATCTCATCCGACCATTTGGTTAGCTTATAAGCTCCATTTATTCAAATAAGCCTCGTTTGGTAAGACAAAAAGCTCGAGCTTATCTCATAAGCTACTTTAGGTAGCTTTTCAAATAAAGTAGTTAAATTTTTTATTTCAGCTAGCTTATCAGCTGATTTTACCAAACACTTTTATTATATAAGCTAGCTTTTCAGTTATAAGTCATAAGCTATAAGCTAAAAAATTACAAATAAGTTATAAACTAACTTACCAGCTATCAGCTAGCTTATTAGCTAGTTTTACCAAACATAGCCTTAATCACTCCATCACATCAAAAACTCACTCCATCACATCAAAAACTCACCAATTTACAACTAGAGCAACACACCTAAGTATTTAAATATTAAAGAAATATTTTTTTTAAAGGTAAATGTACTGATGAATAACACTTCTGTTCACTTTAGTGTTTGCAATCTCTTTTTAGATATTCGAACTTTAAATTGTGTGATAGCATCATTGTCTACTGTCATTATAATCTCTAGAATTCATAATCAAACATCAGGATTTTATTAATTTAATGTCTAAATAACCTTAATCCCAACACACGAAAGCCATAAACCCATTAAAGCGGCGCCACTAAACAGACTGACCGTTGGCAAGCGATTCAAACTTCATTCCATCTCATCCACGCACCATTAAAATCGCTCTCTTCTTTTTCTCTCTCACCTTTAGAGTATCAACGTCTTCTTTTCTGCCTCGATGAAAAAAGTGTGTGAGGTTGATTTTGATTCTCTCAAAAACAATCCGTGGGTTTTAGCTTAAACAAACACATATCTTGTTTTATCAAGAGATTTTGAAATTGGGACGGTGGCTTTGAGTGGGATTTGAAAATTAGAAGAATTGTAGGAAAAAAACAAAACTTTCTCGGAAATCGAAACAGGGAAGAAAAAAAAAGCAAAAGTAATGGATTGAATTTCTGGTTCAGCATTATAGGCAAAAATTGAAAAGAGTTGGACTTCTCCAGTTCACACTGTAATCTGTAAGCGCATTATTTGCTGTCTTATTACAGTAATTACTTACCGTTTTTCTATGAGTGCATTTGTTTGTGTCGCTTACCATAATAATGGGTCTTTTTCCGTGTGTATTTATGATGAATTTCCTTTTAGGGGTGCGTTTCTTAAATTTCGTGGGACGGGTAATGTTCGCCATAGTTTTTCTTTTTTTTTTTTTCAGTTCACATTGAGTTAATGCTCGGAAAGGGTTTTTACAGCCTCTTTGGTTTCTGAAAACAGAAAAGGGACCGGGATGAAAACGGAGAACTGGGTTTTTTGAATCCTGCTGCAAAATCAAGCCTTTTTGTCATCATTATTTTTGCTTCAATTTTTCGGTATGCTAAACCCTTCGATTTTTACAGCCTTTTTTCTCGTTGAATGGCTTAATGCGTGGGTGCCCTCGCGGCTGTTTGTAGGCGTTTCTGTTTGTCGGTATGCCTAATAGCTTATTTCAGACACGCAAAAGAATTTTTCATTTTTTCTTTAGTGGGCTCCTCACTTTGTTTTGGTGGGTGTACCTGTAATGTTTTTTCCCCTTGCCACTAAATGCTTTTGAGATTCTTTTTATTTTCATGGCTTCTCCAGTTCCCATGCTCTGTGCTTTTGTGAATGTGAATGATATCACTAGAGTGTATCTGTTTAAGTTGAGTTTATTTTGAAAAAATTTCATTTTTTTTTTCAATGTGATGAGTAGGTGTGACAATGTCGAATCCAAATCCAGCTGTCGGCTCCAGATTCCGCGGCAACAGTCTCGGGTTGCCGTCTGTATCCCGGTACCGTGTGGCCCACATGCCTTCTTCTTCAGGCATATTCGAAACCCTATCCGAATCTGACATGGACACATCAGATTCGGAAGGTGACCGTTATGGCACACGGTACTCTCCTGAGGCCTCACCACAGGACGATAAAATTCCCAACGGCGTGTCCAGACACAGTGCTGCGGGCCCAAATGCATACAGCAGTGATGCCAGCAACAACCAAGGCACCTATTTGGAAAGGCTTAGAGGAGGACAGGTGGCGCCTTCTGCTGCCCGCCGTGATTATGCCTATGATGATGATGATGATTCAGCTGATTCTGTCACGAGCTCGGAAGTGAACTCCACACCACCCAGGGGTAATAACGACATTTTACCTGAGAGAAGGAACTACAATCCTGAGGCTGATTCGTCCAGTGCCAGCAGGGTATCTTCTTCTTATAGTGAATAATGTTGTAGCTAATTATTTGTTATACGTGTGAATGATGTGGGCAAAATGGGATTTTTTTTGTCATATTTAGGGGCAGCAAATCAAATTCTCCAATGATGATATTCCGAGTGCGCCTCCACTAGCTGGCTCTTTTCAGAATTTGAGTGAAATTTCTGGAAAAAGTGCTACTGATGTTACCGCTCGCTTGACAAAGTCCGAAGGCTCTGCTGATGGGATTGAAGCTAACAAGTGCAGAAGCTCAAAGTCAGAAGTCGAAGCTTGTGAAATGTCTGCTAGGTACATTTGTGGATGTTAAATGCAACATCCAACTCCTACGCGCTAGGTTTTTATCTAATATGTAAAGTTAATAAATATTGTTTCACAGGAAGAAAGGTTCATCTTCGAATTCTTTGCCTGCTCGGTACCCTACGTTTCATGCGAGGTAAGCTAACTAAGAAGGAGCTCTTCCACCTTACCTTTGAATGCCAGCTTAACTAATTTTGCTGGTCCTTAATAGTATTTTTGCTTCATGAAAGTATAGTATTCTCTTGTGTTTTTTTTATCTACCTATTCATATTTTCATTCCCTTAACTGGATACAGTGGGCTTGGCTATTGGTACTCTGTACTCTCATACGACGCTTGTGTCCGCCTCTGTCTCCACTCCTGGGCCAAGGGTTGTATGGAAGCTCCTCCATTTTTGGAAAGCGAATGTGCTCTACTGAGGGAAGCATTTGGGTAACGACTAATAAATTACCTACCAAAATCTTTTCTCTTTTGTATGCAGTTGGTAGACATTGATGTTGAATGACGCTCTCATCAGTTTTTGAAATTAATTACAACATTTTACTGCATTCTTTGCATCATATATCAAAAAAATTAAAAACATGAATTGAAACTGGAGCTGAAGATAGACTTCGGATAATTATTTTCCTGGTTCATGATGTTGTTTTTGGATATTGGATTAACATTCATATTTCATGATTTAGTGGTAACTAGAGTGCTCTTTTCTTGTCTCATTTTTCCCATCTGCAGTCTCAACTATGTAGACTGGTGTAGAAGTATAGTTGTAGTAAATTTATTGATAAAGCTGAACAGTGCTAGTAATGTTCTTTCAGGGGAGTAGGTCTAAAAGTGAATATGTTATTGCATTGATCATGAACCATCTCTTGTCTATTTGTAGGTTGAAACATGTGTTATTGCAATCAGAGGAGGAACTCATGAAGAAGGATTCTTCAGATCTTGTTGGTGAAGGAGCTTATGTGAAGAGTAAGAAAACCATTGGGAAAATTAAAGTTCAAGGTTTGTATATTTGTTCTTGGTGGCAATCTATTTCAGGGTTTTGTTTGTTTGTAGTGTCTTCTCATTTGTGAAAAATCCTCACTAATTTTCAGTTCGTAAAGTGAGAATGGGTGTGGAGCCACCCACAGGTTGCTCATTCACATCAATAAAATCTTCATCTATGGTAAAGTTGGAATCACTTCAGCTCCGGTTATCAAATATGAAATCTATTGTTACTGCTGAGAGGAAGGCTTTACGGAGAGATCGTATAATCCCCGTAATGACTGTCAATGGCTCTTTGTTACCGCAAAAGATGGCATACATAATTGTTGGGACTCGTAGATACTTGAAAGAAGTACCTGAGCTTATCAAGATCGGCTTTAGTGCTTGGCGTAGCACTTCAGCATCCTCTGAAGTTGTGCAAGGTATGCAAACATGTGTTAGATTTGGGATTTTTCGCTGGCTTTGACTTATTTTTGTTTCTTGTTATGATGAATGTATGAATGTCTCTCTTTCTAATAATGGTTCGTGACTTAGAATTTCTGGTGCCTATAATTTGGTTAAATGGAGATTTGTTTTTTATTTTATTGTAGAATCATATTCCTGCTTGTTGAGATTAAAGAGCTCACCTGAGGAGGATGCAGCAAGAATGCAGCCAGGATCTGGCGAATCTCGCTTATTGTATGTGCAATTTTTTGCTTCTTTTACATTTCTCTCTTGTTTTCTTTTTCTTTCTTTTTCAAAACATTACTTTAATCTGCAGAGATGGTAATTAAATGTTTTTCTGCTCATTTATAGCTTGCCGGATGGATTTGGAGATGATCTTATCATCGAAGTTCATGATTCGAAAGGGAAGTATTGTGGCCAAGCTTTAGTTCAGGTTGCTGATATTGCTGATGAATCGGTACTGTGTCCTGATCCCAAGTTTTTTACGATGAAACAGGTCTAGCTGTGTTTCTGAACGTTTAGTCTTATTAATTGTTTTAATGCCAGGGGGAGAAGCTTCGCCATTGTCTTATATATAGGGAACCCGATCATGAACAAATTGGAAAAATACAGTTGAGCATAAGTTATTCAACAACTCACGATGAAAATAATTACAAGGTATTGTTTTCTTCACGAGATGGACTGACCTGCATAACATACTAAAAGGATACAAAAGTTGTTTCTGTATAAAAATATTTTGTCATATGTGATAAGATGAAGTTTCAGATTTCTGCTCTAGCCTTTGATTTTGTTGGAGAGGGGATTTTATATAGCATGGTTGCACATCCTTTGATCATGATTTTTCTAAGACTAGTGGCTAGTGATCTTGTTTCTAATTGTTGACAATATTAAGAAGCTTTTGAACGATCATGTAATATGCTCTCTAAATTGACGGGTAAATCTCTGTCAATAATACAACCTTGTTTAGCATTCTATATTGCATGGAAATTAATTGGTTGGTCCAAATATTTTGGCCTTGAATCATAAAAAATAATATAAGGAACAGCAATTGCAGTATTTTCTTTGATTTGCTGACCGGGGTACACAGAAGTTTTTGTCATTCGAATTCAATGGTTATATGTTGTAACTTGTAAGAAACTTTTATCTTTCGGTTCTAAATTAGATTCACTAACTTGTATGTATATATGTCAAAGTGTGCATCTGTTGCGGAGACCATTGCATACGATTGTGTGTTAGAGACCGCAATGAAAGTTCAAGAGTTTCAGCAAAGAAACTTATTGCTACACGGCGCATGGAAGTGGTTGGTCACTGAATTTGCATCTTATTTTGGAGTTTCAGATGCATATACAAAGCTGAGGTGCACCAAAATTCATGCTCTAATTATCTCTTTGCAATCTTGCTGTGTTTGGTAATTCATTTAATTCAAACTTCATATCTTATCAGATATCTTTCGTATGTGATGGATGTCGCCACACCAACTGCAGATTGTCTCGATTTGGTGCATGATTTATTACAACCAGTGATAATCAAAGGCAAAAATAAGCAGAGCTTAAGTCACCAGGAGGTTGGTTAATTTATGTCAAAACTTGAATTTCGATTTTCTGTTTAATGGAGACATTGTGGCCTTTTGAGTTTTTCGTTTACCAAGTTTAAAAATTATTTTTCTTTTTCCGTTTTTGAGTTGTTTGTTTTTCCGTCCATAACGGCTGCTGAAGATTATTTTTTCTTTTTCCGTTTTCCATTCTTTTTCAATATTACATTCTTAATAAGTGCTAAGGACTCCAACAATTTTACACTTAGGTCCGTCTACTGGGAGAGGTGTCTGAACAAATTGAGCAGATACTCACTTTAGTTTTCGAAAACTATAAATCGCTGGACGAGTCTGCCCCCTCAGGAATTGTTGATGTGTTTGGGCCTGCTACTGGGGAGGCTGCCCCTGCCCTTGCTCCTGCTTTGAAGCTTTACAAACTTCTGTATGACATTCTCTCACCTGAAGTGCAGCTCAAATTGTGCAGATATTTTCAGGTGGGAAAAAGGGTCTCGAATCAAAATTATAGTAATATCATCTACTTCTTTGAAAATAATAATAATAATAATAATAATAATAATAATAATAATAATAATAATAATAATAATATCTGGCATGTTTTATTGCAGAATGCAACAAGGAAAAGGTCCCGAAGGCACCTGTCCGAAACTGACGAATTCGTTTCGAACAATAATGAAAATATGTTGCTGGACCCAGTGGCCCTTTCTACAGCATATAAAAAAATGAAGTCCCTCTGCCTCAATATACGAAATGAGATTTTGACTGACATCGAGATTCATAAGCAGGATCTTCTTCCTAGGTAATTAACTTATATAATCGTTTTATCAAGTTTGCGTAAATGCACATAATAAGTAGTTGTTTCGCCATGAATTAAATGAGTTGGAATCTTGCTTTTTAGTCAATGCAGTGTATAATAAAGGAATCTTTAACGTAAATGAACTATCCTCTGAAATTGTAAGTTATCTTTCGATACCGACCCTGAAAATTTAGGTTGAACCTTCTATTTCTGTAAGATTCTATAGATAATGAAATAATTTACTTATTGCATGCAAGTTGGCTGCAAATTGAAGAATTATGTTCTGCACCAACATGTGTTTTAGTTAATAACTCTTAAACCTGACACTTATTTGTTTTGCTTGTGATTCATTGTGCAGTTTTATGGATCTCCCGAACCTGTCATCATCTATCTATAGCACAGAACTATACAGCAGATTACGGGCTTTCCTCGTCTCATGCCCTCCTGCAGGGCCATCACCGCCAGTTGTAGAACTCGTGATGGCCACTGCTGATTTTCAGAGGGACCTCTCTTTGTGGGATGTCAGGTAAATTGAAATTGATAAGTATTTATTTATTTATTTATTTTTTTGGCTAACTGTTTTAATTTTTTATTTTTATTTTTTGGTATTGATCCTCATAATGCATATGTCTTGTAGTTACATAAAAGGTGGGGTCGATGCAAAAGAGCTGTTCCATGTGTATATAACACTGTGGATCCAAGATAAGCGTCTCGGTTTATTGGAGTTGTGTAAGCCTGACAGGGTATGATGAATCTCTAGCCATCTATATTTATTTTATTTTATTTTCTCTGCTGCACTCGGGCATCTATCTAATCTTCACTATGCATATGTTATAGAGAAATGTCGACATGGTGGCTGCATAAAGGCATTGTTAAATCATTTTATTTTTTTTGGTTGACCGAATGGGGGAAACTGAAGAATGCGTTAATTTTTCAAAATCCCACTGCTAATTCCATGACTTAAGCTTGAAAATTCATGTTTCTGAGTAATTTTAACTTGAGCTAATAATATTCCAGGTCAAGTCTGCCGGTTTTGCCAGCCAGCACTCGACGACTCCTTTCATTGATGATATCTATGACCGATTGAAAGAGACTCTATTGGAATATGATGTCATTATCAGCCGTTGGCCTGAATACACTTTCGCTTTGGAAAATGTACACTTCCATGTTTCTCCTTGCATATATTTTTGTTTATTCTTTAAGGATGTATTAAAGAAAAAAAATTGTGATGAATATTAATGTGCTCCTACCATTTTTTTATTTTTTTATTTTTTTTATTTTTTTCCTGCGAAAAGGCCATATCAGATGTTGAGAAGGCTGTAGTGGAAAGCCTGGAGAAACAGTATGCGGAAACTTTGTCTCCCCTGAAAGAAAGCACGATGCCAATGAAATTCGGTCTCAAATATATGCAGAAATTCGCCAAGGGAAATCCATCTCCTTACAATGTCTCCACTGAGGTACACATTTGAAGAGTTGTGTGTTCTCTGCGAGACAGTGATATTCCTGTTTTCTCCCTTTTTTTTTCCCCGCAAAGTCAGTTAGATTTTATTTATATTTCAGTTGGGAATCGTCTTGAATTCCATGAAAAGGATGCTCGATATTTTGCGTCCCCAAATAGAATCGAAGTTGAAGCAGTGGGGCTATAGCATGCCTGAGACTGGGAATATGGTTCCTGGAGAAAGGTTGAGTGAAGTAACTGTGATGATAAGATCCAAATTCAGAGCTTATGTGCAGGCAGTTATCGAGAAACTTGTTGGAAATGTGAGTTT